AAAAAAAATGGGGATCACACAAAATCCCAGGTAGGCCACATTTTGAGACATGGCAAGATAAGACTAGTGATAACATTTCGCCCCCAAAGCATAGATCATAGCTCATTCAGAATGCTATCCATCAATTTCCAGAATATTCTAAGAATCAAAATGGAGTTTGATGTTGGCAACATCACCTCCTAATGTCATAACCCAGTAACTATATATAACTTCCTGAGAGTCTCTCTTAACGATCACTACAAAAAGTCTAGTCTAAAGCACAATATTAAATGAAGCAAATAAACAAGTCATGCAGTAGGAATATTTTTCTGTATTGTTCACACTGATATGAACTCCAGTACTAATAAACAGTACAGGATTGAACAGTGGTACCATTACTGATGGGACATCCTACAAAAAATAAATGGATAATGTGAGTAACTTATACACATTACAGGTAAAGAACAAAATAAGGAAGTTATTTTCTCCCAATTGTATCAAAAACCTGAATTTTAACGGAGATGGTGATAGCTCAAAACTTGTCCTAAAATCTTTCATTAATTTCCCACATCAAACAGATAATTTTCACCATTGCCCCACTCCCATTTGTACATTAACAAGTTGGCTGCCATGTAAAGGCATATGGTCTCTTAGAGTTAATTTTATTTTCAAATGAAACTATGGACTTGTGCAATGATGTCCTGCAAGTATGAAAATATTCAATAGTACTTCCACTTATATGCAAATTATCAATTTTCTTATCTACAATATTCATAAACTACATTTATTTTGCTTTTTCCATAGTAGCTGGCTTGAATGTCATAGTAATAAATTGTTGGAAAAAATACATTGGCACTGAGGGATACAATAAGAAAGAGAATTGTAGTACCATGGTGTACAATAGCAAGAATGCCCTTGGCAATGAATGTGTTGGTTGGCACAGTTGAAATGGAAAATGGATACACAAGAGTGAGAAAATGTATTTTATAAGACAAACACTTTCTTAAAGGATTATAAGCAATGGCAAATTTCAATATTATAAGCAAGGCATATTTTTATATTTATATTTTTTATTATTATTATTATTATTATTATTATTATTATTATTATTATTATTATTATTATTATTATTTTTTTGTCAAAATACACATATCTTCTTAAAATTTTATCACACCATCACCAAAATTAAATACATTTTCGTAGAAATATAAATGTAAATATGTTTGTACTTCTAAGATTTCACCTCAACTACACAAAAATTGTTTTCAATTGGCAAGAGATAATGATTAGAGACATGAGAAAAAAGTGACCTGAAATTCTTTGGGTATAAAACAAATATTTCTTTTCATATGGAGAAAGAGGAGGGTTTTTAGAAAATTATGTAACCCACTCCTTTAAATAATCTCTTCTTCACCTTGCTTTATAATTTTCAAATATAAATCAATCATTACCACAACCTTTGTCCCAGGTAACATAATGCCAACACAATTACATAGCAGATAGGAAGCAAACCATTTGTCATTTGTACTGCAATAAAGCTTAACAATACTTTTAAGCAAAGCCTTCACTAGTGCACAATTGTTTATAAAAATATACAGAAAAGAAAGCTGAAAATATCTCTTAGAAGCGCTATTAATTTTTTCATATGAAGGGTTAGGGTGTCAAACCTGCTCAGAAACACTTTCAAGATTGAAGTGACTGATTGAGTTCAACAGGTGGTTTAAATGGGTGTCATAAAACTCAACCAGGGGTTAACTATGAGCCATAATTGAACATTGAGTATCACATTGCAGGGGCAACAAATTGCAAAGCCAAAAATTTTACATCCACAAGAACTATAATTTTGCGGGTCATTATCTTATACATCCAAGCCCTTCATATTCCAACATATTAATTTACTTCAAAAACACCAACAAATAGAAAGAAATTAAAATTTAATGGAATAAATAAAATGTGTTCAACAAAATATTCTTAATAATTTAAAATTTCTCAATCAAATAATGCTACTATTTCCATACTTCATAAAATTCAGTCTTTCACATGTGATGCATTTTCAATTCTTTAACTCGTATCCAATAGGTGAATCCTCCTTACAGGAAAAAAATAACTACATAATTATTTTTTTCTCTGAAACATCATTAGCTCTAAAAGGTCAGTGCTCAACAGTCATGAATTTTCCACTTTTTTGTTAAAAAATGACCAAAACAACACAGACTTCTAAAGATATTACAAGTATATTAAACATTAGCATGGCAATCCTGGTGGATATTTTTTTATTTAAATTTTTTATTTGTCCTATACAAATTCCCAGTAAAAAGAAATGTTGATCACATCACAGTTGTCTAACTTGTCTATCTCTGGCACAAAAATCTACATGAAAAAGTATCGATAGGTCATCTTCTTTAATGTGTGTGTTTCGTTACATAATTAGGTTAATTTCAACTGTCTTATGAATCATGACCTAAGGATTCATGTTTTTCAGGAAAGACGGTAAAGTAATTCACAGCATTTCACCATTACACATGCTTTGACCCCCCCCCCCCCACTGCCCCACGACATTTTTTCTCTTAGGAGGACTAGAAGGATTTGGCTTAAAATAGTCAGAAAGAATCAATCTCAGCAAGTGTCTCAAAAATTCCCAAAAGTATATATACACACACACACACATTATATATATATATATATATATATATATATATATATATATATATAGAAACGAATTAAGAAAGCTGCACCAAGCTGATATATATGTCTCATACAATTATTTATTTCATGCAGAATTGTTTAAAACTTTAAACATTGGTTAATTCATTATGTTCCATTAGTTTAAAATCACCCCCAAAAAATTAAAAGAAAAATAAATTCTGAGAATTGTTTAATCAAATAATTTTTAAAAAACTGCTCACAAGCCTTGTTCACCACACCCAGATTCTGTTCAACTGTTTTCAACAGCTCTCCTTTCCATCTTTAAAATACACAATGATGTTCTCAATCGTGTACCAAATAAATAAAACGTACTTTTACTAAAATTAATCTCAATGCATATGAATGTTAGAGCAATTATATTTTTAAAGCTATTCAAAAACATTAACACAGTTAAGGAAAGTGTAATGGTGTTTTGTACAAAAATTTACAAGGGAGAGAGAGAAATTGATTCCACAGATTTTTGGCATTTTAGAGTACTTATCATACTGATGTAAGAAATTATTTACTAAAATGCAAATAGGACATTTCAAACCCACCTCTTGTGCAGACAAACAGAACTAACAGTAAGGAATTCCACTTCCAAATGAAAAACTGATGTAACAAAATGGACAAACAATGCAAATGATGTTATATATCACAACTATGAAATATCTTATAAGTTAATTGCCAAACTTGTAACAAAACATTTACAAATGCAGAACAATGTCACATTTGTTTTGAACGAAAATGTGAATCAACCAACTTATTACCTCAATCTTTAATTTCACTGCTAACTATACACAATGACTCACAGTAAGGGGCAAAAAAATACAGCTTCAATATTATTAGTTTAAGAATACAATGCAATATATTATCACAATATAAATTTACTTCAGCAAACTGCAGTTCATCTATTTGATTCCCAAGTTTACACTTGATTAAGTTCACAATAAAGCCTTTCACTGAAATAAGTTTTTATTATGATGAGGCCACATTCTATTCTTCAACTGATGTACTGTACCACTTCCTGCTTCAAAAGCATTAGATTGCTACCAAGGAACACGCCAACCTTCCTATCCATATTTATTCTTTACAATTTTCAATGAATTCATTAACTTGGTGCCCCTGTATCTGTCAGTTCACTTATACTTTAATAATTTGAAAACATCTTAATTTTAGTCAAAAACTAAAATTTGTTGGGAAAAAAAAAAAAAAAATTATGCAGGAACAGTTGATGGAAAATTTTGGAGCTAATAAAATTCAATTCTGTAAGTATGTATTGCATTAGTAATAAAAATTAATTGCAATTATTCTAAAATGTTCCCAATCTGTGTAATAATAATTTCACTCAATAACAAATAGACGTTTTCTTATATTTTGAGCATTTGTTAATGAAAACTGCACTGAAATCAGGAAAACTGGTTGAAAACATTTTTCGACAACAGGCATGCAATACAATCTGAACCCATTGGATAAATGAGAATCCCTGCAAAAAACAAACATTTACAGCCTATAATTGATTTCCTGTTAGTAAGTTTTAAGTTCCCATTCAATTTTATTTTAGTCATGATTCCTTGATGATTTTACATGCGAATTATTATATAAAGAAAAACCTCTTTTGGGCTATGTTTATTGCTTGTAATTTGGAGTGTACAATGAAACTTTGATTCATTATAAAAACAATTTTCTTCACATATGGATTGAAAAATATTGACTCTTAATAACGATAGTTGCAAGCCTGCATGATTTACATAATTAATGAGATATAAACCATTAATTCTTTCAATTTCAGGCATCTCAGATTAATGAAGTTACTATTTACACCAAACATAAAAAAATAATGAATTAGTGCAACTGTAATTCTGCATTATTCATGGTTTATGATAAACATTTGTTTAAAATGTCCAATTGAAAAGAAAATGAGCAGAAATTCAAGAATATTCAAAAGAGCCTACACCTATAGACAGATTATGAAGTTGCTAACCTATTGAAGATATTTGGATGCTTTCATCATGCGTGATCAAAGAAAAAACCAATGTGTTACAAACTGTTTAAGCATTAATCCATGGTCAATGGGAAAAAATGGGCAAGTCTCAAGAAATAGAATAATACCAAACCCATTACTCCCAGTGGCCATTTATTTGTCCAGGACAGTTACAATCACAAGAAATTTAAAATTCACAAAAGAACATTATACACTAATGTGGAAGAATGACCTGAAAATAAAACAAATGCATAACCCAAACTCAAACTGCAAATCATTTTAAACATAGCATGCTGCCACTCAAGGATGTCAAACAAATGGCAGCACACATATGGTAACTAACTGCACTTACAGCAACAGTGGAACCGTTTTTCCCCACTCCACCAGTAAATATAACATAAAAGTACTGGTACACATTTATTGATCCAACTATGATAGTGCTCACAAGTATTAGACCCTTCAATTGAAAATTAAGATAAGGAATCTGAAAAAAAATAAATAAATAGCAAATATTTCAAAATAAATAATATCATAAACTGAAATCAAAAATAAAAAGAAAATCCACTCCTTCATAAATGTTTAATGTGAATATACAAACACATGACCAGACCCTTTGTCTTGGAACATTACATTTCTATAATTCACAATAAATGGCCATGTTGAACATCTGACCCTTAAATCACTTAAAATTCATTTTTGGCATATTTATCTCTTAATTTATACAAACGTGTGAATTAACATCAACATGAAGCAGCTAAAAACTCTGTAAATGTCAGTTCTCCAATAAAAGTTAGAAGATGCATATTAAAATTTCACAGCTCAACAAACAAAATTAATTCAATAGTTTGAAATTAATCATCGCACCAGCTAAATGACGAAACAATTTATGACATAATGATCAGAAAATAATTTCCTTTCCAAACAAATATTCATATGCAAATGTCTTTGATGAATCACAAACACACAGATTAAAATTATTGAAAATAGTAACATCCTTTCTTAACAAAATTGATTTGATTTAATTTAATTTAATGACATTACTAATTACTTTAAATAAAACGCGAAAACAATTTTAAATGGTATTATGTCAATGTCACCAAATTTTACTAACAAACATACTTTGAGAGTAATTTAAAATTTCTAAAGCTTCCATACACAAATTAAAAGCACGCAAGTAATTTTAATTTTGTCACACAACATGAAATGCAAGAATGACAATGCTGTAATAAAGATAATTTTCATTTTAGCAAAATATAAATGTGTGGGCCAGAGTAATTGTGACAAGTTCAATTACTGAAAGAATCATACAATTGTCTTCACCTCCCCAGTTTCTTGGTTATATACAAAAATTACACGTCTCATTTTCCTTGTATGACATTCAGCAATATATTATTTTATTATGAAGCAATCTAAAATCATTCCACAATATAATTTCAAAAATGCTCATAACAAATTTAATTACATAACTTTGTAATACTGATTTACATTCTGAACCATGACTATCTACCGTTTCTTATAATATTAAAAAAATATAATGATCTAGCTCATTCTTCAAGGTACAATTATTTTCAGTAGGGTACTTCAACATTGCATTCAATGCATTTCAGACATCAGAAAAAGTTTTTTAAAATAATAAGAACAACTGTCTATGTTTGTACTTTATATTTAAATACTGTTCCAAAAACATTTAAAAATAGATCTTCCTTTCTATTACTAATAAACCTTAGTGTCCTTCAATAAAACAAAGAGAACCATGTATAAATTTATTTACTAGAAAAAAATGGTGGTTTCAAATGTGCTCCAATTTTTTAGTGGTATTCATTCCAATACTTTTATTTGTAGGTGACACTCATTAATGATGCATTGAAAAAATAATAATATAATGTAATTCAAAACACTTATGAAATTATCCTATTGGAGTATGTTTAGGAAAGTAACAACAAAATAAATTCAATAATTTATATACAGCCTAACAATACACTTATTGAATTCACTACTGAACAATTATCTATCATTTATTTCGATTTCTTTGAGAAATCTATGAATGACTTGCAACTTCCGGAATTTAATAACACTGTGCATCCAATGGAACTATTTCCAGACTTTTACAGATGTCACCACTACTTATGCTAACAATACTATGAGAATAACATACAAAAGTCAATGCTTTAACATAATTTAAACAATTACTCTGACCCACTTCATAAACAATGCAAGAGCTACAAGATAGATTTTGAGGCAGGCATTCCAAGCCAATACTTTCACTAAGCCACAAAAGTACTAATTACCCCATGGAAAAATTTATAAGGAATGACAAAAGATACTGTAAAAAAAAATTTGAATTCGAAATGAAGAATGGAAAAAATATTCAATATACCAAACTTCATGATACAATATATGTCACTATCATGACTTTGCACACAACATCACAGAGAATTCTTAAATTTAACATTCTGATTTCTTTTCTGCACATTTACGAATTGGATTTTTTGATAGTAAGTTCTGAAAACGGAGGAACATATGTTTTACATGGCACACCATATGTTTGTTTCACAGATAAAAAATATACATTTCACTTGTAAAATGCAAGTTTTCTGTTTTTCACAACATATTGTGAGAATCCAATTCCTATAAAACCTGAAATTATTCAGGGAAAATATGAACAAAAATTACTAGCTTTTCAAACAACAGCAGCACTTCAATGACAACACCAGAAATTGACCAACAGCATTATATAAATAATAAAGCTGAAGCACACAGAAGAATTGCTCAACATTACACTTTCCAAACAACGAAAACAAAAGTCCCTGGACTAATTTTCAAGGTAACATCAATATGTTAATAAGAGAACTACAATGGTTCATAAATATAAATTATATAAATTTTAACGAATAAACGTAAGTTACAATGTATAAGAAGACAATCATGCTAAACTTAGTGACAATTACAAGGTGATATAATCAGACTAATTTGACAATGTCTTCAACATGTCATCCACGAAATGAGTCTACAATTTAACATGCATTAAATATTTTAAGAACAAATATGGCAATTACAATAATTATCACATCTCTTGTTTAATAATTCAATTAAAAATATCCCATTGCAGTTAAGAAACAACAATGTACTATCAAAAGTTTTTTCAACATTTTCAATTATGAAACGTTCCTTGAATCATGCAATTACCAAGTATGATCATATACTTTCCTACCTTTGTCATCCACACGCTAGGCCCAAATACTGCCGAAATTAAATGAATGAAAATTATTGTAAATTGTGCTTCTGTAACATCAACTTTTCCAAATCTTAATGTTCCTGAACAAATAGATTATACAGGTTGCAGTCTCAAAATAAACATTAATTAATGAATTAAGTTCCTTTAAATAGAACAATTACTCACCTGAAACATATGTTTGCCAATGGGCACAATAAAATAAGGTCATAGCACAAAAACACTGGAAAAACATCCATGATGGGTAAAACCCCAACTGCACAGCTATGCATGCAGACAGTGCAACAAATACTGCAAAAATAGATTAAGTTTTTTATGATTATTCTGGCAATCATGAAATACACTTTAGCATAAACACACTTCACTAACCTGTAGATATTGAATCACAGCCATGATCAAAAAGTTCTCCTAATGGACTTGACGTGCCAGTACGGCGAGCTTGTTTACCATCTATTGCATCTAAACTCTGGTAAATAAATAATCCCAAGGCACATGCAAAACATGCCCATCTGGGAGCCTAAAAAGTTACAAAAACCAACACTAAATATATCCAAACACAGTGAATAAAATTTGTGAGTTTCCATGATTTCAACTGTACTGTACCTCTTCCTTGGCATCAGGACTGTACCAAACAAGAATTAAGGTTGTCAATATATTAACAATAAGTCCCCAAACTGTTATTAAGTTAGGAGCTAGCCACAGAGGCAATTTGCTGACTAACCAATTCCACCATGGTTGCAGCAAAGAATCTAGTAAACTAGTACTAGTGAAACTATATTTATGTTCACTAAGCCTCTTGAGTTGGCCAGGTGACAATAATCTCTCTTTGTACAGAAACATGGTCATCATTCTGATTACATATAAAAATAACTCAACACAGGTTAAAACACAGGATAAACAGTTCCCCACACTGAACAGCCACCAACAATTCAGAACAAATGCATCTTGTACCTATACTAAGCTAATTGACAACGACATGACAAAAGTGGTCATTATCTTTCATATGTGAAAGTTAACGAGGCAGGACATGAATCGGGTAACTCACAACGTTTTGCCTAAATTATGCGAGCAATGCGTTACAAAACCCATCTACACACATCCCACTATCACACGTCTCAGACCACAGGACGTGACGTCATAATATGCAACTGAGAACATAACCCTCGAAGACAATTGACGAACATAGTGCGACTTTACTGCGGCCAGGCTGAGGCATAAAGCATATAATTTGTCGTGGGTTATGTGTGTCTCGTCAATTACTGTACTCTTTGTGTTCAGAAATTACATCGCGCTTATCTGCCTCTTCATACAGATGTTTGATTTAGCTCAACCACGTGTACACGTTTTTGTTGGATCGTGAGGTGGTTTACTTTCAGAGATTTAGTCTAACGGGAAAGTGGCATGTTCGAGTATAAAAACGGTTTTCTCTTGAGTTTATTGTCAGAAAACATAATTCAATATCACTAGTATATTTATATTTAAATATAATAAAGTAGTACATGTGTCTCTGGCTGATTTATAATTTATTAATCTCTTCAGAAAAATGTACGGCCTTTTGGCAGTTTTCGTTGATTTAGAATCACAAACCAATTCTAAATCGTAGTAAGTGAACACTTTAAGTACTATTAATAACATATTTTAATCATTGTATTTAGTATTAAGTGATATAAATGCAATTTCAACTTGTCGTTTATCTTTTTCGAAATTAATCTAATAATTTAGAATAAGGCTAGGTTGGAATCGTATGAACAATACCAGAGATCTCATTTCTTTTTTAATTTTTTTAAAAATTTATTTCAAATATGCAACTTGCATTAGACCACAGTAGAACTGCGTAACAACGATTTAAAAAAGATACCTCACATCATATGACTACAAATTCATTATATTACATGACTACATATTCATTATTACAAGAATATCATGGAACAAGTCAAATTGAGAAGTCATCTTTAAGAGATCTTAAGTAAGACCAAACAATGTATTCAGTAATTACTTAAAAAATTGAACATATGCAACTAAATTAACATGAAAACCTGTTCAATTTAGAAGTTGTTGTTGTTCAATTTAGAATTAATTGTTGAAACAATCTTCAAAGGAAGTTTTGCAATTGGCAACATAATATATTGGTATTATGACGTTAGGCAGGGAGGCGGGCAGTTGATTAGCGCTGAGACCGGGCTGTACCATACAAGTTAGTCATGTATGCCATCATATTCTATA